GTAGCTTGGTCTAACTTTAGCTTGGTCACTCTGTAGCTTGGTCACTCTGTAGCTTGGTCTCTCTGTAGCTTGGTCTAACTGTAGCTTGGTCGCTCTGTAGCTTGGTCTAACTGTAGCTTGGTCTAACTGTAGCTTGGTCTAACTGTAGCTTGGTCTAACTGTAGCTTGGTCTAACTGTAGCTTGGTCTCTCTGTAGCTAGGTCTCTCTGTAGCTTGGTCTAACTGTAGCTTGGTCTAACTGTAGCTTGGTCTAACTGTAGCTTGGTCTAGCTGTAGCTTGGTCTAACTGTAGCGTGGTCTAACTGTAGCTTGGTCTAGCTGTAGCTTGATCTCTCTGTAGCTTGGTCTAACTGTAGCTTGGTCTAACTTTAGCTTGGTCACTCTGTAGCTTGGTCACTCTGTAGCTTGGTCTCTCTGTAGCTTTGTCTAACTGTAGCTTGGTCACTCTGTAGGTTGGTCTAACTGTAGGTTGGTCTAACTGTAGCTTGGTCTAACTGTAGCTTGGTCTAACTGTAGCTTGGTCTAACTGTAGCTTGGTCTAACTGTAGCTAGGTCTCTCTGTAGCTAGGTCTCTCTGTAGCTTGGTCTAACTGTAGCTTGGTCTAACTGTAGCTTGGTCTAACTGTAGCTTGGTCTAGCTGTAGCTTGGTCTAGCTGTAGCGTGGTCTAACTGTAGCATGGTCTAACTGTAGCATGGTCTAACTGTAGCTTGGTCTAACTGTAGCTTGGTCTAACTGTAGCTTGGTCTCTCTGTAGCTTGGTCACTCTGTAGCTTGGTCTCTCTGTAGCTTGGTCTAACTGTAGCTTAGTCACTCTGTAGCTTGATCTCTCTGTAGCTTGGTCTAACTGTAGCTTGGTCTAACTTTAGCTTGGTCACTCTGTAGCTTGGTCACTCTGTAGCTTGGTCTCTCTGTAGTTTAGTCTAACTGTAGCTTGGTCTAACTGTAGCTTGGTCTAACTGTAGCTTGGTCTAACTGTAGCTTGGTCTAACTGTAGCTAGGTCTCTCTGTAGCTTGGTCACTCTGTAGCTTGGTCTCTCTGTAGCTTGGTCTAACTGTAGCTTGGTCTAACTGTAGCTTGGTCTAACTGTAGCTTTGTCTAACTGTAGCTTGGTCTAGCTGTAGCTTGGTCTAACTGTAGCTTGCTCTAACTGTAGCTTGGTCTAACTGTAGCATGGTCTAACTGTAGCTTGGTCTAACTGTAGCTTGGTCTCTCTGTAGCTTGGTCACTCTGTAGCTTGGTCACTCTGTAGCTTGGTCTTTCTGTAGCTTGGTCTAACTGTAGCGTGGTCTAACTGTAGCTTGGTCTCTCTGTAGCTTGGTCACTCTGTAGCTTGGTCTCTCTGTAGCTTGGTCTAACTGTAGCTAGGTCACTCTGTAGCTTGGTCACTCTGTAGCTTGGTCTCTCTGTAGCTTGGTCTAACTGTAGCGTGGTCTAACTGTAGCTTGGTCTCTCTGTAGCTTGGTCACTCTGTAGCTTGGTCACTCTGTAGCTTGGTCTCTCTGTAGCTTGGTCTAACTGTAGCTAGGTCCCTCTGTAGCTTGGTC